ATCAGCCTCCTGAAATTGCAAAAATTGCGCAGTGCTCAATCAAATGGCATGCGGGGGGTTAGCGCAAAGACAACAGTGTGTGCCTATAAAAATAAATAAAATGTAAAGGGAAACGCCTTAACCTGCGGACACATGCAACCATGTGAACACATGAACAAATGTAATTAGGGATTAAAACCCTGTGGTTTCATCAGCAGCTTGGCCAACACTGAAACTGGGCTGACCTTGATTAGCAAGGGTGGTACCCTTGGGTGTTTCTCTCACTACAGATTAGTTTAAAGCCTCAAGCACTTACTAGAAACAAAGACACACAAACATTCAGGGAGTATGTGTCAGTGTGACAAAGTCTGTATGAAGCAGTTTTTCAAATGTGGGTCCAGGATTTCATAGGCTTTTCTGTGTGAGTCATGTGTATGTCTGCTAATGAGTTTGGGTGGGTTGAAAGATTTTAGAATACACACCTGTGATGCTGTTAGTGTGTAGGGAGCAGTTTAGGAGGAAAATGTATGATGGGACTCAGACAAACACCTGACCTAACATCAAAAGGGCAATTGAGGGCAGTGCTAAATGGCATAAAGGAAGCTGTCTGACATGAAGTATGCAGTGGCACCTCCCAGAACTTTGTTCATGGACAAACAAGAAAGTCAAACCGTGAACAGTGGCTCCCTCTCTTTGCCTCACTCTCTCTCACCCAAGTACAGACAGTTACTGACATTGCTGAAGGTGCTAATTGGGGTTTCTTAATTCTCAATTAATGAAAGCCACAGCCCCTGAATAATGTGTGTGATGGGATGCAAGCTGCACTTATTACAGGAAGGCAGGTGGATAGACACACAGACAAGACGCGAAAACAAACAGGAAGAGACAGACAGCCAGGGCTTGCAGGCACTGAAAATGAGAGACACTAGAGATTACTCCTACATGTCAACAACACAGAAGCCAGACAGAGGGGGCTGTTTGGTCCCATACAGACATGGGAAGTGATTAGTGCCTGGGTCAGGCCCCTAACTCCACTAAGGGATGCAATGAGACAACCACACCCCTTCAACCACACTCATATCCCACAGTGCACTCACACAAGCACCAGTAAAGAAAACCCTAAGACAACCTCCTATGGTGTGAAATGCAATCTGTGATTGCAGTACACCCACACAAACTCCTATCTGGTATTAGTGTGTGTGCACACTCGAATACCTAGGTGGCACTTCCCCGAACACATAACCTTAGAATCAATTCACCCAACGGGATTGGCCTTTCGCCACAAATGAGAGGAGCAGATACTAAAGAAAGAAACGCCCAGGGATCAAATTACACACACAGTTGCACACATACAAAAATATACATGCTTAATAACATGCAGACACACTAGACGATGTATTTGTTGCAGTGATATCACCATGATACACAGACTCACACATGCATAAAAACATAAACATAAATAGAGTGGAGCTAAACCAGGCAACCAAGCTTGCCTTAGCACATGAACAAACAAGCTCAGAGCTAAAGACAAAAATATTCAAATGTTTGCACTTACTGCCTGTTTCCTACAGTATATATTGTATGTATGGGTTAAGGACAGGAAAAAGCAGCAGCCATCTTTGCAGGATATTGAGGTTATGACTGCATCATGTACATCAGGGAAAGTGAGTTTATAGCCTAAAACCTCAAAGTTCCTGTTAGTCCAAGGCCTGAATAAATAACATCAATATTAATAAATAATAATATAATATCATATTAATATCGATCCATCAGCCATTTTCTATAAAAGAACAGCTTTGTTCCTCTTCAGCTCAATGCCAGCTGCCCTGACACTGACACTGTCCTGCCTCAGGCCTGTGGTGATCTGTCATTTTGCCACACAATGCAGGACATGTACCCAGCCAGAGCTTTCTACAGGTGACACAGAAGCTGCTGGACATAAACTGACAGATGGAGGGAAAAGATCCAGCCAAGAAACAACCACTAAAGTTGACTTTCTGAGGTGGAATTAAGACATTTATTTTGAGATACGCAAACAAAATTTTGATTTGATTTTGTTCATTAATTACAATCCAAAAGCATGGACAGCACTGATACTGACAGAGCACTGAAAAAAATTCTTGCTGCGCAAAACCTTTGACCCAGTACTCTT